ACTTTACAAACGACTCACAACTGGTGATGTTCGAACTTTTATTGAACAGTGCTTCACTAAGGTCCTCTGTTCGAATCCCAACTACGTAAAAGCTTCACCCACATTATACCAATAATTGCCAACAGAACCAAAATATATTATTTTGTATATGAACAAAATTGACCGTGAATTCAAAATCGGTAAAGTGCATCCATGGAGTTAGCCTCCATCCCGTCCTCCTAAAGTTTACCAACGTCAAGAAACGGTCGTACTAATGTGCCCTTGTCCTAACCTGCCAGAGGATGCAAAACAGAAAACGTTCAAAAACAAAAATGAAAACGTATGTTCATTTTGCCTGCCGCTACCATTTTCTAGTACGATAATGTTTGTCCTTAGGTAGAGCATGCGTCAAAATACGACGTTCTATTAGGAGGACTATTTGAGTCCTAGTCTGGACTAGTACAACTAGCCAGTTTAGGTCAGAGCCCACTGTTAACTATTATATTTTTTTTTAAGTCAGATGGTTAATCCTGTAATTAGTCAATTAAACAAGTCCATTTATTAGACCAGAATGGTCATTAAACTCTAAGTAATTGTCGAGAGTGCTAGAGCAAACTTTAGGAATTTTCAGGCAATGGCTAAATACTTCAAAGGCCAAGAATATTCAAGCAATGTCCAAGAACCTTCAGTGAATAGCCAAGAATTTTCAGGCAATGGCCAAGAACTTTCAGTGAATGGCTAAGAATATTTAGTGAATGGCCAAGAACCTTAAATCAGTGGCTATGCATCTTAAGTGAATGGCCAAGAATTTTCAGGCAATGGCCAAGAATCAAAAGAGAATAGTCAACAGTCAAATAAATGGTCGTGACTCTTGAGATAATTACCTTAGAGAGGAAGCCATCTTGAGCAGCCAGGAGGGAATGAAGACAAAACCCGAGATGCTTAAATTTTATTTCTCACTTTAGAACTTAACACACAAAGAAGTTCAAGCTCGACCTTGTCCTGCTCAAAAATGAGACTCTCCTGTTTGAAAAAATAAGACTTTCCTGCTTGAAAATAAGACTTTCCTGCTTGAAAATAAGACTTTCCCGCTTAAAAAATAAGTCACAATGAAAATTCCTTACAAGTTTGTTCAGAGGATTACGACAAAAGGTGAATAAAAATGACGAGAGGCAGAAAACACCATATTTTTGTGTTCTTGCCTCCGAGAGAATGCGAAGGAAGATGACAGTACCCACGTTAGTTAGCGTCTGGAAAGGTGATAATTGTAATGAAAGATGCTCTAAAGTTTGATGGTGAGAGACTGTGTTAATGGTGAAGCCAGGTGTAGGGTGTGGAGGGTGTGAGAAGAGAAGGGAACAGAAACCTTTCTCCCTGGGTTCCTATTCACTTCTTTCCTCTAAGTGTGTTGAACATTTCCCTTCCATCCCCCTTAATCAGCTCTTCCAGATAGTTCGTGACCCTTTACTCGTGACCTGGTATTCTTTCCATTATTATGCTTCCCACTGTACCATTAGAAAGGGGCCATTACTAATAGCGAGGATATAGAACATCTCATAGTTCTATTCCCTCCCTCTAATCCGTGCCTGTCTATACCTGCGGGGTCCGGAGTCAAGGTCACAGGTGGTTCTAGGTGGTCCTAGATGGTCCTAGGTGGCCCCTAGGACCACCTAGGAGGTCCTAGGTGGCACTCTAACCGGTGAGACTCGTGACACCACTAGACACAGAAGACAGAGATATTAGGCAAACTAGATATTTCAATCCTCCTGTTTAGAGAAATCTATTATGTATCTCTGTGCACCATAGTACAAACATTGACGTACTAAGGAATTAGATAGTAGAATTTCGTACTATTACCTTTTAAAGCGTCCGGAAAAAATGACGATAAAATACAAACCTAAATATTCCCAGGCCCAGTATAGCACACATATGTATTATACTAAGCCTCAGATATCATGTATTAGGCCAAGGAAGGTTAGGTTAGGTTAGTTTAGTTTTTGCAACACTAATAGAACATCTTTCCCTGTCTGTCCAAATTCAATATGTACTATTTCTACTTTCTAATTGCGTTAATACGTCGGTATATGTACTAATGGCCCTCATCGTTACTATAAGTACTACCAAAGCAGGAAGATGGACTGGATATTTAGAGATTGAGAGAGAAGCAGCGATGAAAAATGAAATTTTTTCATTTTTCATCTTAATTTTGAAATTAAGAAACGCTAACGAGGAGGCAGAATAGAGTCGAGATCACTATTAATGAGCCAAAAGAAATGCATAAAACTTTAGGGGAAACCCGAAACGCCTTTTGTAAAGTGAAGAACTAAATAATAGAAGATGAAAGGAACCTGAATGAGAAAAAATGTCAACAATGTGGATGAAAGACTTTTCGAAAAAGACCTGAGAGCGGAATTGAGAAGAGAATTCTTGAAGATAATGAAATGGAGGGCCAGTGTTATTGTTTTCATTTCAAATATCCCTCATTGTGGCACCATCGTCTGTGGCGGGAGCAGCAACAGCAGCAGCAGCATCAACTGAAGCAACAGTAACAACAGCAGCAACTGAAGCAACAGTAACAACAGCAGCAACAGCAACATCATCAACAACAGAGGCATATTGGACTAGCCCCACATATCCACTACCCGCACACACCCACACAATCGCCTCTACCCGCTCACAGCTACAATAGAGTGACCACCTTTAAACTGGAAAACGAAAATAAACTGGAAAATCCATTAAATTGGAAAATCCATTAAATTGGAAAATTAAAAATGTAAAAACTTGATTTTTTTAAATTGTTAAATATAAAAAACAATTTTTTTTTAATTGAAAAAAAATCTGTGTGCGTCTGCACATCGCTTCATCTCTGCAGACTGCTCAGATGAAGCGATGCTTCAAGCCCCTCACAGATTACTCGTTGCAGCTTCGTTGAATTCATCAATTGGAACTAAAATAGGATTAATGAGATACGATAACAGGCAAAAGTGAGTGAAGCAACTCAAGCTATCCTCACCGTACTCATCCCGTACACAGGTGAATGGGGAGTGTATGTACTCACCTGGTTGTTGCCTGCAGGGTCGAATACTAGCTCTTGGATCCGCCTGCCTGGCAACCGGTTGTCTAATGCAACACACTCCTAGCCTCTTGGATATCTAAATATCTAAATATCTAAATAAATATCTGACCTAAATATCTTCATAGATATTCACTCACGTATCAAACAATCCACATACTACTGAATATTCTGGATGATAAATATACATATTTCTATCTGTACATCTATAGCCAATATTATACTAAACGTACACTCAAATACACACACAAAATCTTGTATAACTCAATACAAATACACAGACATAAATAATAAAAATCAGGCTTCAGGTAGACATTCAGTAAAGACTGTCTGATCAATGGATTGTTTCAAGCGTAGGTTAGACATGTATATGAAAGAGTTTGGGTGAATATAAATAGGATGCCATTACGATTATATAGCACTTGGAACGGATCAGGATAAGGATTTGGAATAGGATGGGGGAAAGGAATAGATCCCAACCACTAGGACGATCGGGGGTTGAACGCCGATCTGCAAGAAGCGAGACCGTCGCTCTACCGTCCAGTCCAAGTGGTTTTAAGGGGTGCATCTGGGGTGTCCCAGGACGCTAGTTCAATCCCACCGCCCTGCTCACGGACTTTTCTAAAGATATATCATATTGGTGTGACTTCCTTGAGAATGTCTTCAAGAGTACTGACACTTCTTTCACAGAGTAAGAGTTTCTAAAGATATCAAAACCTTAACTGGCCCAGCTCTCCAAGCTGGTCAAGAGCTCATTGACTCTCCAAGATATCTTAGGGGTTCTCGAGTGAGTGTGTGTATTCACCTAGTTATATTTACCTAGTTGTATTCAGCTAGTTTTGCTTGCGGGGGGTTGAGCTTTGCTCTTTCCGCCCGTCTCTC